TAATGCTTTATTTCTAAAGTCATCGTATATTCGTCGTTTCCGAGGGGTCCCCCACTCGTCAACTCGTTGTACACTTGGCCGCGCCCAACTCGCGCCCAACTCGCGAAAACTCGCAAAAAAACTCGCGTGAAAATCGCGAAAACTCGCGCCAAAATCGCGCAGAACTATCTAAAAATTGATCCCAACCCGCGGCCTACTCGCGGCAACTCGGCAACTCGTTGTACACCTATTTTGGAAGTGGGGGACCCCTCGGTCGTTTCAGAAAGTAGTTAATAAGACGAGAAAAAGACGCAACGGACAGAGGTTTTAACTTTCTTTTAACTCGACAACAATTTTTTGTACTGTGGCTGGGCGGTTTTTTTAATATTTTGACCTCAATGTCAATATTTTAATATATTGGAACCAATATTTTGACACACGGAAGTTTTCAATGTTCTGAAATCAATAATCAATATTTAGAGATTGATCGCAATAGCGAATATTGAAATATTGAGTCTGATTCCCAGCTCCGAAATACTAAATTAACGTGTGCTGTTCTCCCACTTAGTTGTATATAGCCCGAAACTACCTATTTGATAAACCCTGCGCAGCAAGAGATGCCAGAGAACAAGTATACCAAATTGGAATATTCTAAATCTTCAATATTTCCAATATTTTAACGTCCAATATTTCAATATTTTCAATGATTCAATATTGAATACCCGAAATTGATATTGAGGCAGTTTTCAATATTTAGGAATATTGCTATTGACATGAAAATACCTCCCAGCCCTCCCAGCACCGGCAGTGAAAAGAGGCCGCTCAAAAGAGACCCGGCCGGGATCATACCCGCGAGCTCCGCACTCCGCGAGTCCGACACGCCGCCCACTTGGCCAGGGCAAACCTAATGGGACTTATGCAACAACCTTTTATGCCTTACCTGCTATTAGGCCTATGAATACAGATATTTACATGTAATTAGACCTGGTTAACAATATTACCTACAACGAGGCTTTTACATAAGGAAAGAGAGGGCCTTTGGGAGATAGAAAATGTGTAGCCAAGAAAAAGTTGTTATGTGTTATAAAGCACTGCCCGCGATTTTGATTCCATGAAGTCGATTAAATCAAGTTTTGTCTCCTTTTAGACCGCTTTTTGCTTTGGTATGGTTTCCCCAACCACTGTGTTTTGCTACGCTCCGCCACTCTGGGCGAGGCCTACATATGACAATGTAACCTTATTTAAGGCCAACTAACTAAAAATTCAATCTATATCATCTGCTTCCACGTTAGCGCAAGCCTTGGTTTTTTTGACGATTTTCACAGGTCTGCCGCCTTATGACGAAATTAAGTTAGAGAGTCAAAACCGCCATCCGATTGACCAAGCCTGGTCTTATAATTGATTTTTATCAAGATTTTGTTTGGCTTCCCGAGAGTTACTCGTCGCATTAGCGTTCGCAAGAACGAAAATTTCGACCGTTTACCTCCAACTTGTAACGTTTAGAGGGCACTTTTCCACGAAAAGGAGGTGAAAATTACCAAATGGTATATTCAGTCGTAAAAAAGGCTCCATATCGTAAAATTGTAAAGTAAGAACCCGCTAAAGCCATACGTTTGGCGTCGCACCACGGTCGTCTTAGAGTTACGTACCCAAACATTTACTATCACGAAAAAGTTGACTTTAGCACAAGAATCCGCCAAAATTTGATCTTTTTAAGGTTACTGGCCCCGAACACTGTGATCGTAAGTCTCGTTTCCATTATTTTGGAGTGATATTTCTCCGACGTATGCCGTGATCATGTCAAGTTTTTTTTCTAGTTCTTGGTCTTTGTGGTTTTTACCACAAGATGTCCACTAGTACCTACTACAATGATGTGGAGGCAAGAGTAGAGCAACTGAACCGGTTTCGGATCAGCCCCTAATTCGGATCTACTGTCTGTAGTTTTAATGCAGAACTAAAATTTGGGTACCTTCATTTTTTTTGCTGAAAGAACGGACCTTCCTTCCGTCTTTTAAATCGCTAACAATAAGCTGGGTGCGTAGAGTGGAGTACAAGCCGAGTATGAACTAAAAGAAGCATGTTTTAAAGGTTGGGAGAATCTTAAAAAATTGACATTTTTTCAAACTGAAATATGAACATAATAACACTTTCCCATGTGTGACTTGTGTGAAAACATTATTTTAGGGTACTCAGAGTAGCCTTTTATGGTATCGAATGATTTTTAATAGGTCTATTGACGATTTGGCTGTAAAGGAATTTTCGCTGATCCGAATTAGGTTCACAAGTCCTATTTCGGATCAAAAACAAGTCGTTCGACCAACTCTGATATCTCCGAAACGGGTGCAGCTACAAATCTCAA